CAGCGTGCCCCTCAGTCCCCAGCGTGCCCCTCAGTCCCCAGCGTGCCCCTCAGTCCCCAGCGTGCCCCCCAGTCCGCAGCGTGCCCCTCAAGTCCCCAGCATGCCCCTCAGTCCTCAGCGTGCCCCTCAGTCCCCAGCGTGCTCCTCAGTCCCCCAGCCCCTGCTCACTCACTGCAGGCGCTGCTCCTGGGCCAGGCAGTGGTTACTGCGGTCCAGCTCCCGCCGCTGCTCACGGAGCTGTCGCTGCCTCTCCCGCTCGGACAGCAGGCCGGCCCGCACCTTCTGGCTGTGCTGCCGGTCCCAGTCCAGGTCCCGCTGGCGCTCCTCCTCCTGGAGCCTCTGGAGGGAGGGACGACTTACCACCGCCTCCCAGGAGACCAGGCCTCCACCTGACGAGTGGACAGGAACACCCCAAGCGGCCTCCCAGCCTCCCTGACCCCCACGGGCTGCTGGGTGGATCCCTCCCATCACTCAGGGTGGACATGGTGCTGGAGGACCCCACCAAGGACCTCGGGTCCCCTTCAGGGGTGAGCCTGCCTGGCCCCTACATTTCGGCAACGCTGCCCATTGCTTCTTGCCATTCAGGACCCCAGAAAACCTTGTGCCTCTTGAGACCACTGGAATCATGCAGAAGGTGGGCTCAAACTCATCATCAAAACCAGACCCAAACACACTGCACCAAAGCGTACTGTGACTCAAGTGACCACAGGGCAGAACTGCCCTGAGGACCCCAGGCTGTAAATCTTTACTCCGCAGTGCTTGGGTTCAAATCCAGCCTTTTGGTAACAGCTGGTCAAGCCACTGGCTACCACAACACCTCACCAGCCATGACAGCAGACACACAAACCCAGGGCCAACAAGTCAGTTCCAGCTCACAGCTGACCCTTCCGCCACCAGGCTTCAGAGGCTGGGAATCACACAAGGAGAAGAGATGGGCCATCCTTTCCTGGGGGCTGCTGGGGCCTCTGGGTCGGCCGTGCATCTCATCCAGCACCAGCTCTCCCTCCATCAGCCATGCCATGTGACTCACTAGCTCATGTCCTTAGGGCCCACCAGAAGCAGAACCTGGTGGGGCTAAGTCTCCCTCCTCCACTTCTGGGGTCTTAGACTCATCCCACGAGGGTCAAGGGTCCCACCGATGCGGTCAGACCGAAACGGACAGCTGTGCGAGGCCCAGCCCCCACCCGGCTGAGAATGCAGGTGGTGCCTGGCCTCGAACCTCCAGACTAGGTGCTGGATTCTTGGCCCTCAGGTTCCTCTCCTGGGGTTCCCAGGGGCCTGAAGTCAGCAGAGATGCTTTAGGGGGGCACAGGGACTGAGCCAGGTCCATCTGCACCCAGAATGAGAGCCTCCCTGGGGTCTCTGCATTGCCCATGGGCCCCCTCCCACCGGCAGCCCCAGCTCCTCAGCCTGGCCTTCCTCCCTAGAGGCTGGGCTCACTACAGCCAGTCCCAATGGGACCAAGCCCCACCCGTGCGGCCTCTGGGACTGTGCAGGGGAGGGGGCGGCACCAGCTTCTCCTGGACTTGCTGCCTCTGCACCAGGCGGATGTTCTGCAGCTGCTCCTGGCTCATGCCCTTCCAGCGGTCGGGGACCACGCGGTGAGGCCCGAAGGAGCTGGTGGCCTGTTGCGGGGCCTCTGAGAGCAGGTCCCCACGCAGCAGGCTGGCGATCTCCGCCAGGTTGTCCTCTTCTTCTTGCTTTTTCTCCTGCTGTCTCCTGGCTGCAGCCTCCAGAGCCTGGGCAGAAGAGATGCAGAGAGCTAGGAGACCTGGGGAGCAGGCCGGGACACTGCCCAGGTGACCCCAAGAGAAGGTTTGAAAGGACAGCTGGGTGGGTGAGGGCCTTGGACCCCTGGCCATTGAGATGTTGCCAGGTGGGAAGGGGGGGTGTCTCATCATGGTACTGGCGGGTACACACGAGCTACTGGTCTTTGTTTTGAGACCCTTAGTGGGGCTGTAGGCCTTAGCTACTGACTGAAAGAAAGGTCAGAGGTTCAAAGCCCCAGTGCTCAGGGAGCTTGTTCCTGAGAAGGTGGTCGGTGTTGTGTACCATACGAATCAGAACTGACTCATGGCAGGTTTTCAGAGGCCTTTAATCAACTGGACAGAGCAGCCGACGGCCTTGAACCTCATGCCTTTGGGGTTGCAGTGCAGCTTCTTGCCACTAGGCCACCAGAGCCGGCTGCAGGTATGGAGCGTCTACAGGGCAGGTCCGCGCTGTCCTGCTGGGTCCCTGGGAGACCTGTCAGCAGTGACTCACTGGCAGTGGTCTTCCGGAGACCTGTGTTTGGGAGCCCTGGTGGCGCAGTGGTTGAAGAGCTCAGCTGCTGAGCTGCTGTCTCTGTCGCTTGGCCCCGCCTCAGGCGAGGGCTCTGTGCTCCTCCCCGTCATCCTGGTAACATCCCTGGATGTGCAGGGACCCCCAAGAACCCAAGCAGAGTCCCACAGGGACTTCTAAAAGGTGGCACACGCTGTCACGCAGTGCTGCTGCTGCTGCATTTCGGCCAGCAGCCCCGGGTCTTAAGAATGGCTCCCCAGGTCACAGTCTGTCAAGTGGGGTGAGTGCCCTGTGACCCGGGGCAGGCCACCTCCCACTCTGGGCTGTGACCGTCTCTCTGAAAAGTCAGGAGGGTCCGGACAGTTAGCCAGTACCCCACGGCTGCCGAGCGCCGCGGGGAGAGCCCCTGACCAGGTGCCCAGGCCTCCACAGGGGCCCACGGGAGGCCAGCTCCACAGCACTGCACAGTCCCCTGCTGTGCAGCTGGACAGGGCCCAATTCAAGCCCTGGCAGCACAGCGGTCAGTGCTTGGCTGCTATCCCCGTGATCTGCAGTTCAAAGCCACCAGGCACTCTGGGGAAAGGCGTGGCAGTCAGTCAGCTTCCACGGCGATTACAGCCTGGGGGGCACTGCACGGTGCTCCCCTGTAGTGCCAACAAGTTCACCCAGAGTCAGGGTACACTTGCTGGGGAGGCTGGGGTAGATCTGGTTTTGGGGGTTCAGTGCTAAGGAGCAGGGTGGGGGTCTCATCTGCCTCTGTGCTGGCCCCTGGCTTGGGGATGGAGCAGGCCTGGGTCAGGGGTACCCCAGGACCTGCAGAACCGCCGCGTGCATCCTCCGTCTGGGGGAGCCATACCTGGTTCCGGTTGAATTCCTTCACCAGCACACACCTCGCCTTCTTGGAGGAATCCTCCAGTGACTGCAGGTGCTGGGCTGTGTGGTCCAGCTGCAGCCGCGTCTGTGCGTACAGGGCCTCTGCAAGGGGACTGCCACTTAGCCCACCAGGCCCCATCCTTGAAGGGCACCCCACGGGGGCCACTCACTCACCCTTCCCTCGTATACCCCAGCCCCAAGAACAGGGGTCAGAACTGTGGCAGGGCCCACCTGAGGGCTGGTATGGGCTAGGAGGGCTCATTCTAACCAAGATCGCGGTGTGCCAGTGAGGACCGCAGGGCCAGGCGGGGGCAGGACAGGGGCACAAAGGCAGACAGGGTGGTGAGACGAGAACGAGATGGGCAGAGCGAGCGGTGGCAGTCAGGCCAGAGCACGAGGGTCAGTCAACAGGGCAGTGAGTTTATCCTCGCACTGGGAGCAATCTGTTCTGGGCCCTGTTTGTTATACCCAAGAGGAGTGAAATGTCCAGAAGCAGCTGGACTTAAGAACTGGACTCGGGGACGATCCAGGCTGGAGATACAAATTTGGGAAATGATGGTATAGGGTGATAGTGAAAGCCACGAGCCAGGTGAAAACCCCAAGGGGACAGAGGACATAGCCTAGGTACTGGGTACAGATGAGAGTGACACCGAAGGCCTCGGAAGATGAACAAAAACCCTTGAAGGGGGAAGGAAGCCAGGCCAAGAGGGGGTCCTGGATGCCAAAAGGAGTGAGTGCTTCCAGGAGGAGGTGGTGGTCTATGCATCAGGCAACTGACACGCCAAGGTGGACAAGTCCCCTGTGGGTCAGGTGACTCAGTGATCACGGTCATCTTAACCAGAGAAGGTTCAGAGGAGGCAGAAGTCTGGAGGGAAGCATCCGAGGGGCGAGTGCTCGTGGAGAGCGGGCCTCTTAGGCAGCAGGCCTTCAGCAGCTCCGAACCACCAGCCTTGAGATGCCAGGCTGGGAGGAGGACGGACCACCCAGCAGACGGAGAGCCACCGGAGAGGCGTGCCTGAGAGAGCAGCTCCCTGGCCGGGCTCCCTGGTTCCCATCATGAGGTGTCCTCCTGGGCACAGCAGACCTCATCCCATCACACTGTGCTTTGCAGGCACTGAGAGTTTTTAAATTTGTATTGTTGGTGATCTCTGTTTCGTGGGTTTGGTTTTGGGGTTTTTTTTAATGGCAGGTTTGTGGCAATGACACATCAAGCAAGTCTACTAGCACCATACTTTCCAACAGCACGTGCTGACTGCAGGGGACTCGGGGGGTGCTGCGGTTAATCATTCAGCTGCTGGCTAAAAGGCCGGAGGTCCACACCCACCAAGGAGAGATGAGGCAGGGGGAGTCCTACAGGCCTGCCGTCAGCTGGAATCTCATCAACGGCAGCCGGTGTTACAGGGATGAGAGCTGTCAACGAATACGCCTTCCCTGCAGGGGACAGCGAGGGTCAGGTCTGCTGAACAGACGGCTCCTGTGTGATGTGACGATGACCCACGGAGGGTCTTCTGGGTCAGCTCCGTGCACCCCTGCCCTTGTCACGCCCCAGCTGGGTCCCGCTCCTTGGTGGCACAGTGGTTAACGAGCTGGCTACGAACCAGGAGGGCAGGGGTTTGAACCCACTGGCTTCTCCACGGGAGGAGGACGTGGCAGTTGGCTTCTGTCACGCTCAGGGCCTTGGAAACCTGGGGGCAGTTCCGAGCCGTCCGAGAGGGTCACTGGGAGTTGACACTGATATGAAGGCCGTGGGTTTTACGTCTCTCTTCATGTCTCTGTCGCTTTCTGGTAACTCTCACAGTGTTTCAAGCCTTTCCATGATGACACTGCACATGTGATAGACTGCAGCCTAGTGTCAAAAACTTTCAGAGTCACCGAGGAACAAAAAAAATCTGTGATTTGGGTTATCGGAGTATCTGCTATATTGCAGGTCTCTCCCAGGCTGCCTGGATGTCACTCCTGCTTCTCAGCTCCATGAGAGCAGGGACACTTTTTCCATGGTGAGGCCTCCCAGCCGTCAGCATGACCACAGGGTGGGGCCGGTGGCTGGTGCCGAGAGAGAGAGAGGGCACGAAGGGACAGACCCAGGACAAAGCAGGGCTGCCTGGGCTTCTCCGCAACCTCTCAGGAGAAAGGCTGGTCTTTGTCCGGGAGGTCACTGGAGCCCAGGTTACACTCAGCTGGGTCCAGGGCTTCTCAGTCACCTCACACACTCTGGACGTATTGCCAGGAAGTGCCAGTCCTTGGAAAAGGTCATCAAGCTGAGGAAAGAGTCAGCAAAGGAGACGACCCTCAACGAGCAGAATTGACACAGTGGCTGTGGCAACACAGAGCACAGCAGAGACTGTGAGGACGGGGCAGGCTTACTGTCTGTTGTTCACAGGGCTGTTAGGAGTTACAGTCCAAATCACACCACGAACAACAGCATACAGGCACGTGAAGGCTGGACAGTGAACAAGGAAGTCTGAGGAAGGATTGATGCCTTTGAATTACGGTGTTGATGGAGAATGTGGAACACATGATGGATGTCAAAGAGCAACCCAACTGCGCTGAAGACATGCAGACACAGGGCCTCTCAGGAGTGAGGGTGGCACCACCTCGTATCAAGTGCTCTGGGCTTGCCGTCAGGGGGCCGGTCCCCAGGGGAGGGTCCTTCACGGGTAAGGATGTCACGATCCCATCTCTCATGCTCTGGGCTTGCCGTCAGGGGGCTGGTCCCCCAGGAAGGGCCTCTCAGAAGTGAGGGTGGCCACACCCCATCTCTCATGCTCTGGGCTTGCTGTCAGGGGGCCAGTCCCCAGGGGAGGGCATCATTCTCAGTAAAGCAGAGGATTGGAACAGCGGTCCCAACAACGGGCTGCCACCCAGCAGCCACCATTGGACAGTGCCAGGCCGGGCAGCATTCCTTTCTGTTGTACACGCGACTGGGAGCCGACATGATGGCACCTAAGAGCCACCACCGCAGCCTACCTCCCACACACCTGCGCCAGCGCACTGGGAACCTTCAGGGCAGGAACTGAAAACAGCCTCACACAGAATGCCCCCTCCAAGTCTCCCGGTGACCAGTGAATGAGTGGGTGGAGAGCCTTCCTTCCTGGAGTGCAAGCCACTGCTGTGGGGCTGTGCACACCAACGCAACCTTAACAGCTCAGGGGTTCAATGGCAGGCTTCCCGTCTTCTGCGTGGGAGACCAGGGTTCGAGTCCTGGCCAATGCACCTCATGTGCAAACATCACCCATCTGTCAGTGGAGGCCTGCACTCTGCTGGGCCATTGGCCAGGCGTCATCGGCGCTTCTAGATGAGGGCAGGCTAGGACGAAGGCCTGGTGACCCGCTTTGGAGAATGAGCCCGGAGAAGGCCTTTGGAGCACACAGGTCTGACCACACTGTGCACAGCTCCCCCACGGATCAGGGTGGGAGGCCAGTGTCAGCAGCTAACAGTAACAAGAGCTGGGGGTTGGCTGGGGACGGGGGCAGCAAGGCCAGGCCGCCTCGGTTCATTACCTGCAGCCCTGCGGTCGGCACGGGCATTCTGCCGTTCCCGCTGCTGCTGCAAGGACCACTCTCTGTTCTGTTCCTGCTGGAATTTCTTCCTCTCCTGGAAGTTCAGATCCTCCCCCATGAAGCTCTGCATTCCTGAGACAGAGTTCTGAACGTCAGTGCACGACCGCCCGGCTGGAAGGTCTCTCTGGAGGGCCCTGGGGTCCGACAAGTCAAATTCCCGGCGCGATTCGGGCATCTGGTAGTGCTGCTGGAAGTCGTTGAGCGCACGGCAGAGGTTCCGCCGGTCTCGCTGCTGCCGGTTCTCCAGGATGCACGCGATTTTGTCGTTCTGCCGCATCTCAGCCGCTAAGAGAGGGGAGAAGACCCAGCTATTCCACTACTTGGAATATAGCTTGAAATATGAGAATTGAGGCACAAACTGAGATTTGTACACCAATGTTCCTGGCAGCATTATTCACCACTGCAAGAACATGGAAACAGCCCAAATATCCAACCACAAATGGATTGAGAAATCATGGTACATTCACACAATGGAATACTATGCAGTACCCAGGAGGAATGACTTTGTAAATTATAACCTAACTTGGGAGGGACTGGAGAGCATTATGCTGAGTGAACTAACTCAGTCTCACAAGGATAAATATTGTATAGGACCGTTATTGTAGAATGAGTATATAAGGATCCAGGAGGGGTGGGAGAGGCTGGAAGCAGAGGGATGTGGATGTGCAGGGGGAAGTGGGGATTAATCATTGGGTTGTACAATTTGATGGGTTAGGGGTGAGGGAAATGGAAATAATTTGTTCACATTTGTATTAGAATTTTGTAAATAAACTGGGTGGGTGGGGGGAAGATTCAGAGGAGAAAGACACCCTTCATTTGAATGAAATTTAGTAAGAGTTTTTGTAAAAGCCATAACCCCAAAGTCCAAATGCAGGGAGGAAGATTCTCACTCCTAACGACCCAGTGTCCACAACAACGGGCAGCGAGGCCCAGAGGAAATGGTGAGGACGGCTCAGGATCAGGGAGGGTTTCGATGTGCTGTTTGCAGTTACGTTGTTGTTGTTGTTAGGTGCCGGCAAGTGGAGGACGACTCAGCGGCCTTATGAACACCAGGCCTGAGTCTCTCTCCGAAGCTCAGAGCTGAGAGCTGCTCAGTGGAGTCAGCTCGCTGGCTCTCCCTGGCAGCAATCTGTGGGCGCAGAGATGACAGCCTCTTCCTCCCCTGGAGGGGCTGCTGGGTTGGAGTCACTGCCCCTGTGAAGAACTGCCCAGGACTTGACTCCTATACCACTAAAGTGACACATCTGTACAAAAAAGTAAGGCGGTCATTCAAGGGTTCCTTTTATGTCAGAGCCATTGAGTCGGAATTGAGTCAGAGCTGACCCCCTGGTGGTCTTTCCGCAACCTGAAATTGTCCGGGAGGGGACTGCCCATCCTTCTCCCAAGGTGCAGCTGGTGGATTCAAACAGTGCAACTTGTAGCCACTTGGCCACGGGGATGCATCAAAGGATTAGTATCCCCCTAGGAGGTGCTATTCCTTGGAGAAGGACATGATGCTGGGAAGGGTGCAGGGTTGGCGAAGGAGAGGGAGATCCTCAACGGGGTGGACACAGTGACTGCTGCAATGGGCTCTTGTGTCAGGAAGTGTGGAGATGGCACAGGCTAGATCAGGGTTCAGATCTTGTGTTCACAGAGCTGCTGAGTCGTGCTTGTCTTGATGGCCCCAAACAAAAAGAAATGTTAAGAAGCTGCGCTGCAATCCCAAAGGTACTTGGTTTGAATCCTCGACTGTCACAAGGCAATTTACTATCTCTGAAAACCTGCTGGAGGGTCAGTGCTGATTTGACGGCACCAAACAACAACAATCCTTACTATGGAAGGATTAAGAGATCCAGGCTGCTTCCATGAAGACGTACAGCCTGGGAGGCCCCACGGCACAGGTCTACCCTGTCCTAGAAGGCTCTTTATGTGTTGTCAGGTGATGCCCAGTGGCTTCCAACCCACAGTGACCCTCCACACAGAATGAAATACCACCCTGTCTTGCACCACACTCCCAATGTCTGCTGCACTTGAGACCCCGATACCGCCACTGTGTAAGTCCACAAGGGAAGCCAGGACTTGGAATCAATTCCACACAGTGGTCTGAGGGTCTTTAACAGATGAAGCCCTTGTTATGTGCCATGAAGATGGAGCTGACGCATTGCTGACCGCCAGTGGGCGTCAGAGGCTGTAAATCGCACGGGAGGAGATTGCGCACCTTTTTCTCATGAAGGAACTGGTGTTCAAACCACGAGGTGAATTCAAACTGCATGCCTTTGTGCTGGCAGTGCAACTCCTCCCCGCTAGGCCAGCAGAGCTCCCTCTGCATTCCTGGGGTAGTGCACAGGGTCAGTGGGTAGTGCAGATGGTGGAAGTGCCTCTGAGGGACGCGGCCCTCTAACCTTTTCCCAGCAGTGCACCAGCCATTAGATCCTGTGTCGTCCCAATGGCCTGAGCACTCGGATGCTGAGTGAAAGCCTGGAGATTCACTCTCCCCAGAGGCACCACAGAAGAAAGGCCTGGTATCTTCTGGAAAACCCCCAGCCACGGGAAACCACACAGAGCGCAGTTCTGCTCTGCTCCCCATGTGGGCGTCAGGAATCAGAACTGTCTCGGAGGCCACTGGTTTTAACCCTAATGGGCAAAGAGCAACTACAAATTAAATCACCCAACAGGAAAAACATGGGCAAAGGACAAGGACAAAGAAATCACTGACAATAAACCTGAATGATCAATAAGCTTGTGAAAGATCAGCCTCACAGGATGGGACGCCTCCACTGAGCTGGCGAGGTAGGCACTGGTGAGAACCAGGACGGATGTGGGAAGCGAGGCCTCTCACTCACGTGGGCGTAGAGTGCTCAGGACCCTTCCTGCCCCAACGTGGAAACTGCGCACACTGGACAGCCTCTCAGGCCCACTTTTAGGTCCCTCCCACACACGTGCACGACAGATGCAGGGCTAACCATGCAAAGAGTGAATCACCTCCCAAGGGAAATGGATCAAGAAACCATGCTTAACTCACGTAATAAAAAGATTATTTCCTGTGGATCATGGATTAATTTTAAAAATATGATGTTGCATATTAAAACACAAAACATGTTGCCAAAGACATCATTCAATGGGATGGCATTTATGTAAACACTGAAAGAGCAGAAAAATGCTCCCATGTATTATATCAAAAGTACAAAAACACGTGTGGGAATGTGTACCTCGGAGGAAGAGAGAAAAATGGGGAGGCTGGGGACCCCTCAGCTACACAGAGAAGTTGTTATGTACCATCAAGTCAATCATGACTCACAGCAACCCAACACAATTAATTCTGAATGCTGTGCTATCTTGAGCCAATCTCACTGTCTCTGATACACCTATCCTCATTAACCCAGTCAGTGTGTCAATCTATCTCATACTGGGTCTTCCTCTCCTGCGCTGTCCCTCTACCCTTTCAAGCATGACATTCTTCTCCAAGTCCCTCCTGGCCACGTGCCTAAAGTATGTGAGACAGAAGAGCATCAAAATCCTTGTCTCCAAGGAGCAGCTTGGTTTCACCCTCTCCAGGACAGATCTATTAGTTCTCTTGGCATTCATGGTATGTTCAATATTCTTCTCCAGCACTACAAATCAAAGATATCAATTCTTCTTCTGTCAACTTTGGTCATTGTCCAGCTCTCTGATGCATACCAGATAACTGAGAAGACCATGGCCTGGATCAGGTGCACCATAGTTTCTAGACTGATAATTGCTTCTCTTTAGGACTCTGGAGAGGTTCCTGACGGCAGATTTTCCCAGTGCTATTTGTCTTTTGATTCCCTGACTACTGATGCCAAGGGTGTTTAATGTGGAACAAAGCAACCAATCTTCAATCTCTTCTCCATCTGTCACGCTGCTGCCAACTGGCCCAGGGATGAGAATCTACATTTTCTTGATGGTGAGTTACAATCTACTTGCATACTATATTTACACCACCTATAAAACCCAAAACCTGACTGCTGTCAAGTAGATTCCAACCCACAGTGACCCTGTAAATCCACGGCTACCAACCTCTACAGGAGGAGATGGCCAATCTCACGCCTCTAACGTGACTGGTGAATTCAGTCAGCGGCCAACACAGCACACTCTGGGAAGCCCCAGCCCCTGTGGCCTTTTACCACAGAATCAACTCCAACTCATGGGGACTCTGTGTGTCACTGCTGGGCTCCGGGAGGTTGACAAGGGCTCATTCTGGAGCAGCGCATCACCAGGCCTTTCTTTCAAGGCACGTCTGTTAAGACTCAAGCTGCCAACCTTTCAATTAGAAGTTGAGCACTGTAACTGTTTCTACCAACCAGGAACACATGTACATTTATGTGTTTGCAGGTATGTGCATATGGATATACACATACCTACTCTCTCAAGTCTAGCCACGTTTTGGTAAGGAGCCTCAGTTATGCAATGAGTAAGTGCTCAGGTGCTAACCTGAAGGCTGGAGGTTCAAACCCACCCAGTGACTCCATAGAAAAGAAGACCTGGTGCTCTCTGTAAAGATCATAGCTTGGAACCCCTATGTCTCTTAGGGTTACCGGAGTCAGAATTGACTCAGTGGCACCCTGCAACAAACATTTTGTTATAATTCCTTCCCCATTTTTCTGCACACTTTTTTAAAATCAACTGACAATCCCCTGGTACAGATACTCTGTTGCTGTTGTTAGGTGCCTTTGAGTCTAGTATGAGGCATAGCAATCCTAGAGATTTGAAGGATAGATTTGAACCACCAACATGTTGCTAGCCAAGCACATCTGGCGCTTGACACCTTGCAAGGCCTCCAACTAAGAGGAGGAACATTTCCGTCAACCATACCCATCTCTGTCTGCTCAAGAGTACAAGGGGGGTTGTCAACTGGGAGAAACCCCAGACATTCTGTGTACAACCATCTTCCAGGGAACGTTCTGGTGGAGAATGAGTATGTGTGTGTGCTTCCGTGTGTTAAAGCTCTTCACATGGGGCTTTTTTTTTTTAAGAAAACCTGAACTTCTACCTTTTAAACAGATTTTCTTGGGTTCACATCAAAATTCAGAGGGTTGTTTTTAAAAGAGATCATTCACTCACTTGTTGGGCTCAAGAAAGAATGGAATTGTAAAGGAACGAGGAGCATGAACCTGACACTTATTCCATCTAACTGTAGGAATCAGGACAGGTGTTGGGAGTCACACCGCCACTAGACTGTCACTCAAGAAACGCTCACCAAAGGTTTCATGTCTAGCTTTTTCAGTGGCTTCTCTGATTTTCTGTTCCTGAACCTGGACGTCCCAGGCACGTGGGTCTCCCTGGGAACAGAAAACCAGGAGGGGGGGTTAATTCTAAACCATTGGTAATAATCTAACTTCTCAGTGCAGCCTTTTCCCATTGTAAACAAACTGAGGACCCACGCACCTAATGTCCCTGCAACCTGGACTTTCCCCAGAGCTTTCTGCCCCTTTCTTTGGGTGAACCAGCACAACCGGCTCCAGGAAGCCTGATTCCCCTTCAGCAATCGTTGCTCACTGATGCCTGCACAGCACTGACCGCCTGGCCTCAATCAAGTCCTCAGAGGTTGCTGCTTGCTCCCTGCCCTGTCTTCTGTGCTGTTCCGTCCTGTCCTCCGTCCTGCCCCCTGCCCTGTCCTCCATCCTGCTGTCCTGTCCCCTGTCCTGCCCCCTGCCCTGTCCTCCGTCCTGCCCGCTGTCCTGTCCTCCGTCCTGCCTCTTGCCCTGCCTCCTGCCGTCCTCCGTCCTGCTGTCCTATTCCCTGTCCTGCCCCCTGCCCTGACCTCCGTCCTGCTCCCTGTCCTGCCTACTGCCCTGTCCTTCGTCCTGTCCCCTGCCCTGTACTCCATCCATCCTGCTCTGTCCTGCTCCCTGCCTGTCCCCTGCCCTGTCCTCTGTCCTGTCCTTCGTCCTGTCCCCTACCCTGTACTCCATCCTG